TGAACGCGTGCAATCCGGGAGACCAAGACTCGTAAAGCAGGACCGAGTTCTGAACCTTCCGCTGACAAGTGGAGCCGACAGCCGAGTGGCGAGCGCGCTAGGGCTTGGTCCTGCGAGGTAGGCCACGGCTTCTATCTAAGGCGTCTGTCATGACAAGTACTTTGGGTTTAGGCTCCTTTCGACTCCAGGCTCATCAATCCTTTCTAAAGCTAAGAAGTGACGCCGTGTCAATCGAGGCGTGGGTCGATGATTGTCGCTGAAAACGCCTGGAGGGTAGGCAATGCTTTCCTGAATCGGGCCCCCGCGGCCTCCTGTCCCTCCGAGCGCTTGGACAAGGCGAGAGCTTCGGAGATGCATTGATATCTTTCGTTTTCGCTTTAGTTCTTAGCGCAGTTTACTTCTGGTTGATATTCTAGCATTGGCGGAAGTAATGAGTTCGTCTACAGACGGTTCAGTTTAAGCTGACTCGGACACTGTCGGCTGTAGCTACAATCGTGTAGCTACAAACAGGGACGTGTGGGTTGAGGGCTCCCGCGCTACACAGTGTTATCATTCAATGCCCGAAAATGGATCTCCTAAAGTTAGTTCGGATAAGGCTGACTCTACGCCCGCCGGATTTGTGGCCACGGTTTTGTGGCCACAAATTTTAGTAAAGCATCCCAGTAAAGCTGAAATGCAGAAGGCTACGGGGAACAAGGAAACGGAAGTCTCCATGTTAAAGCATAGTGATTTCCGTTTTCTTCTTCCCCACATTCTTCTGCATTTCAGCTTTACCGGAATGCTTTATAGGGACACACTAGCTACAGTGAGACCAGCCTAAGGTCCGTGTTTTCACAGCACGGGCAGCATAGGAGTTTGCAGGCGAGAGGGGGTGAGGAAAAGACGGACCTTAGGCTGGTCTGGCTATAACCACACTCTGCGGCAGAGCCGTCAGCGCTCTCTGGCGGCAGCCGGGGTAAACGGCTTAACCCGTCCTGCCCTGTCGTGTACCATCATCCCGTTTCTCGCGTGTTATTGTGTGCCAAACTGCGTGACGCGAGTTGCTGTGAAAGTATGCCGAAATTTGGTGATGACTTTTTTGCCAAGTCCGACTAGACAGGACGAGAGAAATCTACGATCAAGTAAGTTGCCACGTTCAGCAACACCGCACACCAACTACTACACACCCAGCTCACTCAGTGGTTTGTAAGGTTTGTTGAGGTTAGGTCTTATAGTTGCCCCATTCATCAGACGAAGTACTTAGCACCTTGGCCTGAGCCACGGTTTCTGTTTTTATTTTCCGCGTCCGCTCACATGGTCATTGGTTCTTCTTTCCTCCCTCAAAAATGAAAGCATCGGAACCTTCAGAGCGGCACTACTCTGTCGGAGCTGCGCTTGCCCATGATCGAATCCCCGACCCATGTCACCAAAAGTGTGAGACGCACGTCAAACTTTCGCACGCAGTTACAAGTTATGAGCGAGCATTATTCTGTAATGCATAGGGTACCCCGGGGCTCGGCTAGACCTGAAGGAGAAAAACAAAAATCGTCGGGCGGGGGTACTCCATTCCTCCCCGTGCCTGCGATTTTTGTTCTTCTCCTTCCGGTCTAGCCGAGCCCCGGAGTACCCTCCTATTCATTTAAACTTCACAAAGTGCGAGAGAACGACACAGATTTCGGACGGATAATGTTTGGCTTTGGCGTGCCCCCCCTCCATCCCCCTCCCACTCACCACGTTGATGTTCTTCCACTCGTCCTCGTTGTTCCGGCGCTCCTCGGCTTCCTTGGCCAGCTGCGCGTGCTGCTGGTGCAGGTGCACCTGCGTCTGCAGCTGCAGGTGCGGTATGGGCGGGATGTGCCTGGCCCGCGGCTGCAGCACCCCGCCGCGCACCATGGCGCCCCTCTCCCGCTCTCTCTCCCGCTCCCTCTCCCGCTCCCTCTCGCGCTCTCGCTCCGCGGTCCTCTCCGCCTGCGCGCTGCTGTGCGTCCGCTTGGGCCACGCCGAGAGGTTCTCGGCCTCATCGGCGTCCTCCAGGCTGCGGGAAGGAGTGCGTGCGTCAGTATGGGTCGCGCTACCGCGCTCTCGCCACAATAATCGTCGCTCCGCTTACCTGTCCGGGGCGGCGCGCTTGCTGGCCTGCTTGCTGCCCGTCCCCGCGGCCTCGGCGTGGAAGATGTCGAGCGCCTCTCCGGGCGTGGAAGCCCCGGGGTCGAGCAGCAGGTGCTCGTGGTGGCGCAGGTACTGCAGCGCGGTCTGCGAACGAGGCAGAGGTCAGATCAGATGGCTGCTCTCTCACTTACTCATCCACCCACTCACTCTCTCTCTCTCTCTTTCTCTCACCTCCCCCGCGCCCTTGGCCAGCCCGTGCAGCTCCCGCTGCAGCGCCGGCAGCTGTCCCCGCAGGAAGGGCAGCACGAAGCCGCGCAGGGGGAAGTTGGTGACCTCCTGCAGGGCGTGCTGGAACTCCTCGACCGTCAGCCCGTTGGCCTGCAAGCACAACCAAGTTAGAACGCACATGGCCGGGCGGGAGCCGGGCGCGGAGCTGCGGGTCTGGTGGGGCGTGGCCTGTCGTAGCGGGCTTGGCGGGGCGTGGCGGGGCGGGGTGGACGGCAAAGTATGCGGGCGTGAAAACATTGCTCTGATACTGTGGCTGGTCCGCATGCGGGGCCCGGTATGCCCCGGGCCGC